GAATTCTAATAAAAAAAATTTCATTGAATTTGGTCAGGTGGTTGTCGAGATACCTTCGATCAAAGTTTAAAAAAATCCAAACCTCTATCAAAATAATAACCGCGGCAAAATTTTTTCTAACTTTGATTGAAGGTATGTCGATAACCACCTGACCAATTTCGATGAATTTTTTTTTATTTGAATTCTACAGACTCGTGGAATTCTAATAAAAAAAAAATTAGCGAATTCGGTCAGGTAGTCGTCAAGATACCTTCGATTAAAGTTTTAAGAAAAGTGATCTACATGGGGGGGTGTGGAAATATCAAAAAAAGGGTGTGGAAATATCAGTCGCCTTGTTTTAATGTGATTATCCTTAGTATGTATCAAATATTAAAATTTAATTTATTTGTTTATAGCTATGCCTGGAAGGAAAGGCCGTCCAGAGCAACACATTAAAGTATCTGAACTAGCAAAACTCCGCGACCTTATTAAAAAAACCATCGAACAAGGTTACTTTGATGACACAAATAAAACTCCGGTTACAGCTGAACTGTTAGGTCGCGCAATTGAATCTGGTCTTCAATCAAGTATGACTGGGTTTGATCAGTATGGACCGTTCCATAATAATGGACATATGCTGTTAGCATTTATTAATTTTCAAAATACCAGTAAGTATCTATATGTCAGTTTCAATTCTAAATATGTTTTTGTCTTTAAAAGAAGTTTTACGTTGTTAGAGGAACTCGACCGTGGTGTAATGGGTGATGTACGTGTCGCATGTCGAGATCCGGTTTTCTGGAAATGGCATAGACATGTTGACGATCTTTTTAGAATGTATCAAGAAAAGCTAGGACCAAATCATTTTAACGACTGTCCACCCGTACAAATTTCATCAGATGGTATCATTCTCTGTTTCAAAGATAAAATACCAGGTATTAAAGGATTAAAGGATCCCCAACAAGATATTGAAGCAACTAAATGGGGAGAACAAACCTTTGGTGGACATAATTTCCATAAAGAACATGATCGTCAATCTACTAATGAATTGGAAACTAAGATGAAACAAAGAAAACATGCTTGGATTGAAGATGATCAATCTACTCAAATAATTGAATATCTTTTCCCACGAGAATGGTATCATTATTATTATTATTATTATTATTATTATTATTGAGATTTTTATTACTTTTAATATATTCTTAAGACTAATTTTTCTTTCGCACAGGTATTATTTCTTCCGCGTTGAGAACACTTCTAATAGTGTAATTATTTATTATAATACAGTAGAACCTAATCAAATAGATCGTATCATTTTGTAATTAAATGTATTCCTATATTTATCATTCTTTAGACCATCAATGTTACTTTCCGCGTCTTCATTGCCCCCATAGAACTATGCGACAGTTTTAACGAATGGATCGAAATCGACAAGTTTAAACAAGAGCTCCCGCCGAAATGCGGAACCGTTGTTGCACGTGATTGTGATCGTTCGTCAGTGGTGAGACAACCACCACAAAAAACCATAGATGAATTAGATGATACAGCAATTGCGGCCAATACGGAGGACCAAGAATCTGATGAAGAGCAATACTGTGACTGTGGATGGCCTTTCCATCTGCTATTACCTCGTGGTTCGCGTAATGGAATGAAGTTTAAATTATTTGTATTTATTAGCGATTGGGAGAAAGATAAAGTTCATCATGTTACTAGATGTGGTAGCTTGAGTTTCTGTGGTGCAGAAAGACCAAAGGACAAATATCCTGATGTACGTCCAATGGGCTATCCCTTTGATCGTCCTTTCAAAGACTGTTCTTTCGAAAAGGTATTTATTAAGCGTACTTACCGTTTTCCAAACAAAAAAAAAAAGTTTTTTTTAACTATTTGTTCTCGACTTTCAGACATTTGCCGGGCTACACAATGCTGCCTCAAAAGACATTACCATTCGTTGGGTTGATAACTATCCAGATTGGTGTTAATTTCTGTATATTCTGTAAACATATACATTTCTGTATTCTTAAACGAGTATGAAGATTAAAAAATATATATCTATCTATTATGTCAAATCTTTTACTTGTTACCCGTTTACATTTATTAATAAATAAATAAATATATATATATTTATATATATATTTATATATATACACATGTATTATTGGGGTGTGCACAATCAGTTTAATCACAAACATATGGCAAGATACAGTACATAGTAAAAATCATTATTGAAGGTTTTTTTTCGAAATTTTCGAAACATATTAAATTATTAATAAAAAATGCCTTCGCGCAAACTTTAATAACTTCTGTTATATTAATTTTTTTTTAATTCTGAGAGCTGATATTTACTCTTTAAGAGTGTCTCTGTTAAGTAATAACCGCATATTTTAAATATATTAATATTTTTATTATCATAATGTATATAGAAATTATAAAAAAATTTTTTTATAATACTTTAAATATTTAATAACTATATATTAATATTTAAGTGATGTAATGCTTACGACGAATAGTAGTAGTATATAATCAAAATATTAAGCGAAATTTTTTTTAAAAAAATAGAATTAAAAAAATATTTAAAAAACATATGCCAAAAGCGAACCTTTTTTAAAAGTATAACTCTAAATAAAATCCAAAGTCAATCTATTGAGGAAAAAGTCAAAAATCTTACCGACTTAAATGATAAAATTTCTTTAAAAAAAATCAATTTTTTTTAAAGAAATTTTAGTAAATTTACTGCAATTATAAGGAAACGTATAATTTAATAAATACTAGTTGACGTATATGTTGTAAGTGGGAATGGAATTTAAGTGGATACGGAATTTCCTAGTTAAATTAGTGTTAGAGTTGGGTGTACATATGATAAAATCAACCTCAAAACGTGAGTTTTATATATAAATTCCGAGTCCACTTAAATTCCATTTCCACTTACAACATATATAAAAACAATTAAATATTTAAAATATGCGGTTATTACTTGATAAAGACACTCTTAAAGAATAAATATCAACTCTCAGAATTAAGAAAAAATTAATATAACAGAAGTTATTAAAGTTTGCGCGAAGGCATTTTTTATTAATAATTTAATATATTTCGAAAATTTCGAAAATCGATCAAAAAAAATCTTCAATAATGATTTTTACTATGTATCTTGCCATATGTTTGTGATTAAACTGATTGTGCACACCCCAATATAGCATGTATAATGCTTATGTATATACGTACATACCCAGATATAAATCACCGTCTAGCTCTTAAACTGGTAGAGGGTACACGCCATGGGGTACATGTGTCCAACTTTTACAGTATGTACGTATATTCCAGGGAGTTATGCAGTAGAAAGGGTGGCTACATTTTTTAATTATGAATTAAATCGTCCAAAAATTGAGTTTCTCTTAATGTTACAAAATTACTCGAATCAAATACTTCAAAATGTCTTAAAATTATAGATACAGTATCAATATTTATATTGTAAAGACCATATCGATAGGTAATTAGATCAAATATAACATGGAGAACCTCCTACTATAAATCAATTGATTAATAATCAATTTCATTTCTATACTAGGGTCTGCAAATTGTCTATTGTAATGGCACACTATTACAACTGTTTTTATAAATTCTGGAATATAAAATCTAGCCAAATGATTTTTTGGCTGATTCGACGATAAATTGAAATTCAAGATAGGTTACTAATATAAATATTATAAGATTACATATGCGTGTTTACTTTAAAGTATCTTTGTTGGAAAATAAAAAAAAATTTAAGCTTATCAGTTCGAAAAACTGTTTTTTTTTTTTTTTTTTTTTTTTGTTATAAATGCCATAGTTGAAACTTTATTTAAAAAAGTAGAGAAAGATCTACA